AACGTACCTTTTGAGTTAGTGTCCAGTGGTATGTGGAGGACCATTCATAGTTTCCAACCAAAGGCGTTGCACCTGGAAACAAGTACTATAGGGTATCGCCTGATCTGGACCGCGGAGGAGATGGCATTCGGGTGCATTCTTGTCCTCGTAGCAAGGTTTTGGCCGGTGGGCAATAGGTCCTGAGGTGACCAACCAGCTAGAGCTCAAAATGAGAGACTAGACCACTAGACCATCCCATCTCCCCCATTTAACTGTAATTACCAGCTGCCTGACGAGCTCCCCAGATGAACGAAAGAGTACTTTAAAATGTTATTAAACCAATAAGCATAATAATAATATGTCCATTTATATAGCGCCAAATCCACAAATCGTGCTCATACCTTTTATCTTTTTATTATTAACCGTGAAATAAAGTAGTGCAGGTTTACGGATGTACTAATATTGTCAAATATATATACACAGACCTACAATGTAAGCTAATTCAAGCCTACTGTACCAAATGAGTACCGTACCAAGTACTTAATAACTGTATACAACGGCTATATATACACATAGACCTAATTCACTCTAATAAATTGAATTTTCTGCATGGATGAATAATTAGTTTTAAATATATTTAAATTGATTTTTCTGGTTGATTGATAATTTTAAAGGTGGGGGGACCTTTTATAAATAATTCCCCAAATTTTTATCGATGGGCTTAAGAGTATAATAAGTTAATGGATATTATTCAAAAGATTTTTAATTTGGATAAATTTGTTAAATGCATCGCATGGGTGAATTGGAATAGAATAATGATTATATAGAGAAGCATATAGTAAATTTACAATATTGATGTTCGAATGGATGTTACACGCTTGTCAATATGGACTTTTGCATTGAATAGAATAAAATGAAAATTGAAATTCAATGAAATATTTAGTTTGTGGGTCTTGGAAGGTAAGTAACTGATCCTTAGAAATCCAATGAAATATTCAGCACCATGAACTGTGTGTGAAATAGTTTGATTTAACGTCCGCTTCCACCGAGGTGATATCACAGACAAACCCAGCACCAACTGCTATTCAATCTACTATGAGGGGAGTTTTGACAGGACAGCGTCGCTTCCGTCTAATCGGCATTGATTCTCCGTGACAAGGAGTAGTGTCGCCTGTCCAACCTTGTGGGTTTACTCCGGGTCCTCCGGTTTCCTCCCACTGCTAACGACCCCTACGCGCCAGCGAATTATTGAAATAAAATTGAACTATGTGTTAGTCCTGAAATGACCTAGTTTGTGTCGAGTGGAGGTTAAACCCCATCTCTCTCTCTCTCTCTCTCTTTCAACCCCATCTCTCTCTCTCTCTTTCAACCCCATCTCTCTTCTCTCTCTCTCTCTCTCTCTCTCTCTTTCAACCCCATCTCTCTCTCTCTCTCTCCCTCTCTCTCTCTTTCAACCCCATCTCTCTCTCTCTCTCTCTCTCTCTCTCTCTTTCAACCCCATCTCTCTCTCTCTCTCCCTCTCTCTCTCTTTCAACCCCATCTCTCTCTCTATCTCTCTCTCTTTCAACCCCATCTCTCTCTCTCTCTCTCTCTCTCTCTCTCTCTCTCTCTCTCTCTCTCTCTTTCAACCCCATCTCTCTCTCTCTCTCTCTCTCTCTCTCTCTCTCTCTAATCAGCATTATATTCAAACTGACAACGGATCTTGATCTTTTAGTGCACGTTAATGTGTACACAGGATGTCAGGGTTTTTTTTGTCCTCTGACTAAGAGAAACCATGCTGGAAAATCCTAAGGAACTTTCTCTCTGCCAACAGCTGGATCAACCAGGATCTCCTGGCTGGTGAACCTAGCGCCTTATTCACTGAGCCACAGTTACTCCCACTGATTCTTGGAATCTCCTGGCTGGTGAACCTAGCGCCTTATTCACTGAGCCACTGTTACTCCCACTGATTCTTGGAATCTCCTGACTGGTGAACCTAGCGCCTTATTCACTGAGCCACTGTTACTCCCACTGATTCTTGGAATCTCCTGGTTGGTGAACCTAGCGCCTTAGTCACTGAGCCACTGTTACTCCCACTGATTCTTGGAATCTCCTGGTTGGTGAACCCGAATGCTTTATTCACTGAGCCACTGTTACTCCCACTGATTCTTGGAATCTCCTGGTTGGTGAACCTAGCGCTTTATTCACTGAGCCACTGTTACTCCCACTGATTCTTGGAATCTCCTGGCTGGTGAACCTAGCGCCTTAGTCACTGAGCCACTGTTACTCCCACTGATTCTTGGAATCTCAAGTGTAAATATATGACTGTAGAGGATTTGGACTTACTACAGAAAGATAAACTTGTTGTTTATTTTGGACCTGGGAGTCTGATCTCAATTAACCTTTGATTCGTAATTGTTGTCATAGTTACTCACCAGGACAAGAAGATCAAAGGCATGTATCAAATGTTACAAAAGAATTGATTGGTTAACAGGCGTTAGATAATCTCAACTTAAGATGACATATCATTGGTTGACTAAATCAGCCTTATAGGTTGATGTTGATGTAGTTAAGAATGACTGTTTTGAGTAATACACACTAATGGTAATAATCCTGCACATCAAAGGAAAATAAGGGGCTAATTGAAGGGATTTAATAGGTAAATAAACAGGTGATAAAGGACTCACCTCTATAGGGTTAAAATGACGATGAGGTGTTAATGGGTTATTTAAGATTTTATTTGATAAGCAGGTAGACACCTGTTTAAATAATTCATGTACATGTATTTAGTCTATATATAACCTATAAAACTAATTAACGATTTAATTACCTGAACATCTGTTGTACAGGTAAGATATGGCCGAGCCTCGGATATATCAACCAATGGGAAAGTTTAATCACTCTCCACCCCATCTCTCAGTCAACCAATAAGAATTGAAATGAAATGGGGTTTAACATCCTACTTTCCTGCATCAAAGGGTAAATGAAGATGGGAATACACCATACGGTGTGCTATGAGGGACATTTTGCCTAGGCAGCATTGCTACACCCTACTCGTATTCATAATTTCAATTGTCGGCCAATAAGACACAGTGATTTTGCAGCTAGGACTCTTAAAACTGTCTGCGTGGTTTTCTTAGACATATGTTGCAGTATTAATTGGTATGTTGCATTATGTTGCAGTTGTTGTATTAATTGGTACCCTAGCCTGCTTCTGAAATCCAAGTTATAGTTATCTTCCTAAATGACTAGTGATATGTGTTGTATATAAGGCAGGGTAGTTGTCTTTCTAGAGCACCTGATATCACTTCTCTGATGTATTTTTATATAGAGATAGGTTGAAGTCGCCAATCTCAATCCACGATAAAAAATGTACCCATATAGGTTATTTAACTTTTGATTAATAAATGAAATGAGATGAGATGAGATGAGATGAGATGGGGTTTAATGTCCTACTGTTCTGCTATGACTGGGATAATGAAGACAAGCTAAATCAAAATGTTATCTAAATTATTAATTAGACATTAATTAATCTATCCAGACCATAATCAACTCTCTAAGGCATCGCTAGCCTGTGATCTTTAGTGGATTATGAGCCGATTTACTGCATAACTTTCCTTCACGATTTAACGATTAAATGGATAATCGAGACTATGCTGTTTATATCGTACTGACTTTAGTAATGATGATCAAGGCTAGCCGGAAATTTCAATCACTTAGTTCTCGGTTCATAGTGAATCAATTTGAATGAAATTTTCAGCAAATTGCCTTTACATTATGTAGTTCTTAACTATTATAGTGAGAACTGCCAGCTCTTTATCTAATCTCCCATAATGTATCTTTAAGAAATCAGTTGGCTACAATAATTCTCATTATGTGATAGAACTACAATTTTTCTATTGAAAGTATTGAAATAGTGAAACAGAGATTTATTCTATATTTAGTAATTGTACACACCTAGAAGACGTACAGAATGCATTGTTGTAATGTTGGCTGAAGGATTATTGTAAGAACTTGTGTCGTCATTCTGACGTCTTTCTGTTGATGAATAGACTCAAAATAATTTCCATGAGTAATTTCCTCTCTTTGCCAAAAGAGATTTTGGATGAGAACTTCTGTTTTATTCTGTCCATGAACAGGGGCTTGATTACATGTGGTTTGGTCATACACAGGGACTTGATGTTATATGGTTATACACAGGGGCTTCATACAGGTGATAAGAGTAGGAAGTTACTGACATTAGGAATACTGTTACTGACATTTTGTATACATACACTGTAAATTCTGTCCATTCTGAAGTTTTCGAAAAGGAGACCTGACAAAGCATAAAATTATGTATGTGTTAGTTCATGAATAAGAAGATTGTGTATGTGTTTTCAGAAATTTAATTTAATATTTTTATTTATTTTGTATCGTTTCTACAGTAATAAGATTTAACATATATTCAGTAGAGTGGCTACTGTTAATTCGGCTGATGTTGTCTGTGTTAAGCACAAGACTTTATAAATAGATCAGAGAACCAATTGTTGGCGTGGATAGTGGACGCTTCTGGCTAGTCCCCGATATCCAATCACTATTTGACATGTCTGTGTATACTGTGTATCTTGTCCATGGGTTTGTCCTGCACTTACTATTAGTACATTTCACAATGATACGAGTCCATTACAATTATTGAAATTATAAAACATTTAAAAAATGGGATTTTAGTTTACTATTTCTTTCCAGATTCAAAGGATTATGGTGGGGGGAGGGATGGCTGAATGGTTAGCAGGTGCACGCTGTATCATAGGGTCTGTCATCTGGCGTGGTTTTGATTCCCCTGTTGTACGTGACAAGGAGTACGGTCACCTGTCCAACCTCATGGGTTTTCTCTGGGTCCTCCGGTTTCCTCCCACTGCTAAAGACCCTTACGAGCAAGCGAATTATTGAAATGAAATTGAACCATATGTTAGTCCCGAAATGACCTAGTTTGTGTCGAGTGGACGTTTAAACTCTCTCTCTCTCTCAATGATTTAATTGTATCTTTTTTTGGTGTTTTTCAGGTTGCTATAACAATTTATTGGTTAGGACGAGCTGTTTGTCATACGTACCCAGTGCCTAATCTAGATTTCAGTGCCTTCACCCCATTAATCAACCACCATAACAAGGATATAATATCTAACGAACATATTTACAGACTTGATTCATCGTGTTCTTGGGACTCCTACGATCATTCGAGTGCTTACGGGTCAAACGGGGGAGTATCGGGAAATAGTATAAAAGATTCCATAAATCATCGTCACGTACGAGATAGTTCTTATGAATCATATGCTTCGTATGGTAAAGCATCAGAGGACAGTCTTGATGAACAAATATTCGATAACATGCCTGTAGGAGGAAGATTATCCAGTGCTTCTAGCAGGCAAGATAGTAGTCCCCGTTATTCAGCCACTAATGAGAGTTTGTATCGTGAAGGCAAGCGTAATGGAATGTATCGTAGTAGTCCGGATCTGGCCGTGCCGTCATTTAATCACAGAAGATCATCGTCGACGGACAGTTTAGATGGATCGTATCGCAGTCACTCACGACAGTCGTCGGACAGTTGTGATGGTTACCCAACGAGAAATATGCCTGGACGACGAATCAGTCAATCTACTGCGGATCCACTACAGTTTATAAAATCACGAGGAGCAGAAGATCTTGCGAAACAGGCAGAAGAGCAAATAAAGCAGGTGGAAGAAGTAAAAAAGACAAAAGTTGTGGCAACAGAAATCGCCAAAGATGAAGATGATTGGCAATCGGTAAGTTAGCCTTTAGTAATTGAACTGGAATATACAGGTCACAATTCTATCATCCAGGGTTTATGGACCTGCTTATAGTCTAACCTTCGATGATGGGTTGTATGTTCAATCTAGTTGGGGGTGTAAGATTGAACATACAATAATTCAACAACTCACTTCGTCTTGGTATAATCTTATATTCTGTAACAATACATAAGTATTGTTTAATGATCGAGAGCCAGACACTAAGTAATGTATTGTAAAAACAAGAGGGCCGTAAACGACTTAAAATACAGACACTCCGCGCATGCTTTTACAGTGAGTTCAATAATTCACTAGTATAAATAATGTATGATTGGCAAGTTGGTACGCAAACATCAAAAGGTGACGTCACATCTGTATTTTAAACAATAATAACACATATACAATAATGACCCACAGACTAGGTAACTTAATGAGGGACAGTGTCTAAGAAATAACGTATCAGTGACTAAGTTTACCCTTTAATATTGGATAAATGGCTGTATTAAAGCTCCGTTCTCAGAAAAGTATTTGTCGGGTGGTTATTTAAAATAAAAGTATGGCAATTTTGGTATATATGGAAAGTAGAAATATCCAATCTTACTAGAAAAATACTGGATTCCCCGAAAAACACTCATGGAGCGCATACAGGACAAAAATGTAAGGGTTTCCCTAATCGACAGCCCGGCGATTAGGAATGTCGAAGGTTGCACGCGGAGATTGAGCGCTTGATGAACAGTTTGATAAATTTTATGAAGAATTAGAAGTACAACACTTTCCGAGATAAAAATCATGGAAAAAGACGTGGGCAGTGGATAATCCGAAAATTTAATTAGGCTTCGATATTTGTAATAAATATGTCTTGGTGTGTATGCAATGAATTCTCCTCCGACTTCGCTTGTGTTGCTATGTACTGAGAGAGGTAAGTCACGTGACACAAACATGACCTCTTTTGATCGATTTTTTATAGCTAGGGTATTCCCTGACAATTGCAATGTTTTGAGAAGGATTTGAAGCAAAATTATGATAAATTAATTAGTTTGAATATGTTTTTAGTCCAGTTTGTACCCGGGAATGTATCTTTAAATACCTGGTCATAATTCTATAGAATACTGCTTATCATTACTTGATAAAAACTAGAGAACCCTAGTAGGAACATTACTCATTAAAACAAAGATCTAGGATCTGGACGAGTTGTTATCTTCAAAATTTTGTATTCTTATGAATTTTTGACATATTTGATTTCCTGTGGATTAGTAAGAATATGACAAATTCCTTCTTTGTGCGGTGTTTGACGTACGTAATAAACACAAAAACATAATATGGAGTACAATTACTATTTCAATTAAAGCGACATTTCATTCTGGATAATCAAATCATTTGCTTGATAGCATTGAGAGAAGTCTCAATGAAACGCTTCTTTAATTAAAAATTAGTTTTTGTGTTCCATATTAAAGCAACTTAAAATACAGACACTGCATTTCAATGAAATGAAATGAAATGGGGTTTAACCGTTAAACTCTAACGGCCTACTGATCTGCTCCGAACTGGGCTAATGAAGACGGCATACATCTTACAGTGTGCTATGAGGGAAATTTAGCCTGAACAGCAGCACTACGGCCTACTCTTATATCGAATTCCAACTGTCAAGGGATCCTTTACGTGCATGCCAATGTGTACACGGGACCTCGGTTTTTCGTACCATCTGAACGACTAGACAGCTGTACTTGTCAACCCACTGTCCTGCATCACTGACAAGGGGGAACCACGCCAGAAAATCTGAATGAACTTTCTCAGCCAATGCAGGGATCGAACACCTGACCTCCAGACTAGCGAGCCAGCATCTTACACATGCATTTCAATGAAATCGTCATGTGAGTCAAATATTTCATCTAGTATAAATATTGCACACTTGGCACATGTTGCCTGTACATTACCGGTATTTGAAACTATGGTACAACAACAACATCAATGCTTGACATCACATGTGTATTATTTATCATTATTGTAGACACTGGGTAATTGTATATTATTTATCGTTATTGTAGACACTGGGTAATTGGAAATCAAGAAGAAAAAGTAAATCGGAAGCGTTTGTCATTAAAGAAGAACAAGAAGAAATGGCCAAGAAAAAGGAAGAAGACGAACGACAAAATAAAACCAATTCCATAAAATCTTTTAAACAAATTCAGGAAGAAAGGTGGGTTTGACTTCCATACTTTTAGACAGGATTTTTTTTTTATATGCCAACTTTTTATATGCAATTGTTTTCAAATGCCAGATCAAAACAACAAAAATGCTTTATATCAGACTTAGTTGTAGTCAAAATGAATGAAATGGGGTTTAATGTCCTATTTTTCTGCTCCAACCAATTGAAGATGGTGTGAGTGTATGTGATTAAACTTAAGGTTGACATTGATAGTTACAATCGACAAGCTTATTCTTTGTGGTACATACGCCAGTTTCCTACATGTATACTCGGTTGTTTTCTCTGGTTTCGCTACACTGTTAAAGACCTCTATGTACAAGCGAATTTTTGAAATAATAATGTACCATATGTTATTCCTGAAATGAACTAGTTTGTGGTGAGTGGACATTTAAATCACTAACTTATGAAAGACTCTGATGTTTGATTTGACGTCACAATTCCGAGATGGCTGCTATGACATTATACTCATTTCCTAGTCCATGGCATGTTAGTACCGTAGAATCTGTACGAGCAGCCACACCTTTTAAGCGGCACCTCTTTGTTAGTGGTCACAATAAATTCTCCCATGTAGAAATTCTTTAGTTTCATCTCTTGTTTATTTAAATATTTGAATATTTCAGAGAACGAAGAAAGAGTGGAGGAGGTTTCAGAGGTTATCCTATTGATGATGAAGAAGAAGATGATGATCTGTTCATTAGTCCAATCAAATCATCCGTTACACAGAGTACAAGTTCAAGTTTTACAGCTGAACATACAACAGTAACGTCTACACCAAGTAGTAAATCAGTAAGTAGACTTTAACCCTTTGGTACATGTACATGTAAATATCAACTACCCCAGTTCCTTTAACCCTTTGGCACATGTAAATATCATCTACCCCAGTTCCTTTAACTCTTTGGTACATGTAAATATCAACTCCCCCAGTTCTTTGATATACATATTAGTTAAAGATGCATTAAGTAAGATTAGATAAAGAGATAATGAAAAGTGAATATGTTAAAAATTTCAGTCAAATTACTTCGATCTGAGCGATGTTGAGGCGTTTTGGAGAAAAGTGGAGTCTCGATTGTCATTGCCACCGTTATTACGATAGTAAACAAAGTCTTGATTATCCATTTTTTTAATTAAATCATTAACTGCCAATCGTGTTTAAATCTGTTGAAGTGAATTATTGAAATAAAATTGAACTGACCCAATTTGTGTGAATTGGAGGTTAAACTCTCTCTCTCTCTCTCTCACTCTCACACTCTCACTCACTCACTTCCATTGTTTAATTTTTTTAAATTTTTTTCAGAAAAAGAGCGGCAATGTAGCACCATGGGCACAAGATTCTGGTAGTGAAGCAGAAGGAGATCAATCTAGCCATTCAGAAACAGAGGATAAAAATAACAACCAGCCATTGGATAATAAAACCAAAGACTATAGTGATATAAACCAATCAGATTATTCCGAGCATAACCATTCGCATAATAAAAATAATATCAGTGAACGTTCAGGTGTTGGTCGAAGCAGCAAACTGTCGGATATTACGAGTAAGTTTGAAGCAGACGGCGGTGATTCTAAAGGATTAGCAGATAGTGTGTCGCGTCAGAATAGGAGGAATAATGGTGTGGCGTCGCCAGCAAATAAAATCAATAATATCCGAAGCAGATTCGAAAGTCCAGAGGATAAACCTGTGACGAGGACGGCCGTGTTCGATGCTAAAGTGGATTTAAATGCACGTAAAAAGTCTTTCGAGAATTTTGATCATTCAAATAGTTTTGATGCTGGGAAGCCACCTAAACCCTACCCACGAGACCGGACAAGTAATAATATGTCTACAACGACGACATCATCGTCAGCGACAACTTCCTCCTCTGTATATAGCAGTAATAAAATCACGGGCAAGGTAAGATCAATGATTTCTCCCAAATATCATATTCCTTATTGTATTCAGTTTGAAATAATTACTCCCTGCAGAGTAAGAGCAATTAGCTCCTTTTTGACTGAAGTGAGAGTTGGGGGTTTGGGATGGCCAAGGGACCTTATTCAAGAAAACTTAAACTAAAACATTTGAAGAATGTTGGCTTTTCATTGGCTAAAATTTCTACCAGGATTTTAATCCCCAACCAATCAAAAGGTAGGATCCATAATATATTTTTGTTTAAGTTTTCGTGAATTAGACCCCAGGCCTGGAAATAAAAGTTTTAAGCTGTACCTAACATTTTAACTTTATGCTGGACAATAATAATATCAATAAAAATGACAAATGACAAATCAGTGCTGGACAAAATCACAGAGAAAGGTTCATGTTTTTCCAAAGAGATCAAAATTTTAAAGTTGTTTGGCCTTTGAGATGAGTATTCACTCTATTCGTCACAGAAACAGACCAGCATTAATTAAAGGTTAACTGAACAGTAATTCAATTTGTACTTGAAATAATTTCAAGGTCTCTTGGTGAACAGTTCTGAAATAATTTCAAGGTCTCTTGGTGAACAGTTCTTCACATACACATTAATTTAACATAAATAACTGAATAGTAATTAAATTTTTACCACAACTCAAAAGATGAATGAATTGAAAGTCAGTCTGTGAGCAGTTGTTCAAGTAAATACTAACAGACAAGATAAATGAATTAAAAGTCAATCTGTGAGCAGGTTGTTCACTAATAGACATGAGTAAATCTGAAGAGTGTTGAATTTGAAAAACTTGTCAAGATAAGAATGAAATAATTTCATGAATTTCAAACAATGAATTGCCAATCGATTACATGTGCAGGTTATGGAGAATTTAATGAACAGTAATTCCCACAATGATATCACCACCATGTTGAGTCAATGAATTACATGTATAATGAATTTAATGAACAATACTAGTAGTTCACACAATACTGTCACCATGGTGAGTTCAAATCTACAACAGTTGGATGTTTAGATGTACATGTATTTATAAGAATAAATAAATTCTGATTTTGAAAAAAACAATGGGACTGTTTCAATATCATGCACGTCAAACAGCACAGACAGAACATCTGGTAGAAATTGGAATTAAAAAGGTTGGACATTATACTCTAAACTTAGTGGAGGCAATGGTATTCATACATTTACATGTACATGTATATGTCTGTCATGTATGCCACTAAAGTTGATTCTATGACAATAGGAAATGAAATAGAGTTTAACATCTTACTGTTCAGCTTCTACTGTGCTAATGAAGACGGGCATATGCCATACACTGTGCTATGAGGGGAATTTTGCCCGGGCAGTGGCACTACGGCCTAATCTTATTTCAAATTCTAACTGTCAAGGATTCTTTTATGTGCACGCCAATGTGTACATTGAACCTCAGTATTTTGTACCATCCAAAAGACTATACATTGTCCCTTGCCAGGCTATTTGTTCCACACTACAGACAAGGGGCAACAGCGTAGGTAAATCCTGATGAACTTTCTCGGCCATCGCAGGGATCGAACACCCGCCCTCCAGGTTAGCATCAAATGAAATGAGCCTGGGTTGAACGTCCTACTGTTCTGCACCAATCAGCAAGCTAATGAAGACAGCTAGGCATGTGCAACATTTCTTCTAAGATTTATTTTACATTCACCCACAGAAACAGAACATTGTTCTTTCATCCCATCCGAATGACTGGACGCTGTTTGTTGCTATGCACTCTGTCCTGTACAGCTGAGGATGTAGATACATGTAAATATGTTTCTAACATTTTGGTCACAGATTTTCATCAGGGAAATGATGATCACAATGTTTACCATCTTAGCTATGTTAATAAAGTTATGACATAAATATTACAACATAAATATATATTTCTTTTTCTTCAATATCATTAGATAGTCTAAACCTATTTCATGTAAGTCCTAACCTAGTAAAGAAAATAGATGATGTTGCAGTAAACTATATTATCCTGGACATCTTCAGTGATTTGCCAAATATTAGGCCTCATCACATGAGTATTATGTGGTCATGAATCTTAATTGGAAATCATCCCTTCTGCTTTCTGGTTTCATCTGTCTGTCCACCTGATGTCCTTGAATAAATATCAACATACCAGAATAATTTATCTAGGAATGCCCTTTATTTTATAACAAGTACATCTAATTCTGGGAGACTAAAGGGAGGCAACTCTTGAATTATCATCAGGGCTCAGACTAACAATTATTTGCCCATTGACTTCAATGTTAAATGGCTGTAACATCACAGGCTGTAGCTTTTTGCTCAACATTCCGTTGGTTCCAATCTTCATAGGCACAATGGTGACTACATTTGGCAATCTCCTCATCATAATTTTGTAGGGGGTTGACTGTTCAGATTTTTTGCTACGGGAATTTGATGTTGACTGGGGTGAAAATCTCACTTCCGACACAATGATTGCTCTGCAGAAAGACACTTTACACCCCCTATCCCTCTGCTGTAATATCATCAGTATTACCCAAAAACTGGTATGAAATTGCAAATTTGATCCCTTTTCTCCAATTCTAGACCAAAAAGTCAACCCAAAAATGCAGGAAGAGGGGAGAAAAAAATTAAGGGAAAAATTGTTTATTTATAACTCGCACAGCATTTGTCCATCATGAAATAAGGGGAAATAATTACTAGTCTGAGTCCAGACTTACTACAGTCCTACTAATAATAAGCTGGAAATGTTACATGTACTTGATTTGGGATTTTAGAACTATCTCTTTTGCTGTCCTCATTATCAGACTACTATATGCACACCCTTGCTACATGTACTATAACTACGCACACCCTTGCTACTATAACACAAGGTCATAATATACACCATTCTCAAAATCAGACTTTCTTTGATAAGGTCACAAAGTTGATATTCTTGTAACAAAAGTGGGGAAATGATATCAAATATCTTAGGACTTGCTCCATTTATATTCAGGAATGTCACAGATGGGCAGAAATGCAATCTAGTGGGTGTAATTTAGTCCTGTCATATTTCTGTCAGTCCCAACAACAGAGGTGGTGTGAGTAGAATTGTGAATATGTTTCAACTCATATGGTTGGTCAAGATATACGTGTATTCTTACACAGTTGGGTGGCCGAATGGTTAACGTGTGTGCCTTTAATCATAAGGTCTGTCATAGAGTCAAGTTTCGATTCCACGATTGTATGTGACAAGGAATAGGGTCGTGGGTTTTCTTGACTTTACACATGTATCTACATGTGTCTTGAATTATGTGTAGGACTGAAATTGGCTATTGTCGGCCATATTACATGTTACTTTTGTCGCAGTGGACGTTAAATAAAGCTAGCCTATGATGTTTCATACATATGTAGCTACAATGCTAACAGTGTTATTTCAAATAGATTATATAATTAATATGATTTGTTGTGTTTCAGGATTGTGTGGAGAAAAATATCAAAATAACAAGTAAACGTGGGTTTGGTTTTACAATATGTGGTGGAGCAGATGAAAAACAACAGGTGTTGGTGGAAAAAGTTAGTTTAGGTAAGTTGAGAACATCTGATGCCACCTCTTATATATGTTTATATTTATGTAAAGTTCAAGATTAGGTGCTGGGGTTGAATGGCTGGATGGTTAGTGTGTGCGCGCTGCATCATGAAGTCTGTCATTGAGTCAACTGGCGTGGTTTCGATTCCCTGGTTGTACGTGACAAGGAGTAGGGTCGCCGGTCCGGCTTCGTGGGTTTTCTCTAGGTCCTCCGGTTTACACCCACTGCTAAAGACTCCTACACGCAAGCGAATTATTGAAATATAATTGAACCATATGTTAGTCCTGAAATGACTTACATGTAGTTTGTGTCAAGTGGACTTTAAACCCCATTTCTCTCTCTCTGTCTTTGACAGAATCAGGAGTTGTACATAGTAAATTGATTACTTCTAAAGCACACCCTAAACTTAGATTTACTTTCCCCAGAAACATTTAATTATATAAATTTATTTCTCCATACTGGATGGAAGTCAACAATACACCCATCTCTTGAATGAGTGACTTGACAATACATGTACATGTTACCTGGGGCATGCTCTGTTTCGAAACTGCCGATTGAGAATCACATTGGCTGAGATGCCACATTGCTATCGTAACCCTCATCCTTCATTAGCCCAGTAGGTGCAGAATAGTCGTGTAATAAACACTGTTTCAAGATCATATCAAGTTGAACAGGTTTTACAAAGTATTTGATGTTATGTAAATATATACTTTAGGTGACAATGCTGATATGATTTGTGAAGATGAGAGTAAGTCGTATAGAAAAATCAAAAAAAAAAAAAAGATCATTTTTTATCTCATTATTTCATGAATAGACGTAATACATCACATTTATTTCTTAAATAACTACATCTTTTAAAATTTAAAAGCAGTATTTTGTGTAGACTTTATATTTAAAAGTACATTGTAGGATCAACGAGGATATAGCACAAGGGAGATAACTCCAATATTTATCATTAAACTGAAATTTTTGTGATCCATAACACTAATACATATATTAGATTATCTCTGTAGGTTTTGATTTTAGAAATTCAACCAAGCCTGGTCATAAGGTATCTGTCACAGACTTATTTCCAGGCGTAAATTCAACTTTTACATAATTAAAAAGTATTTCTGTTGACTTTAAATCGAAAAAAAATAAGGTCTGTATTTACGATATACATCAAGGGAGATAACTCCAATTAGGGTGAAATTTTTCTCATCTGTATTTAATACTAATTCTCTGTAGGTTTTGATTTTAGAAATTCAAATTTTACTTACTTAAAGTATACTTTTTCTTTATCAGTTCTGTCTTCTCATCCAGGTTTTGTTTCTGGAGCACATCCATCATAAAACGTTCAAGATATCTTTGTACGCACATCAACCTTTTAAAGTTACAATTTCATATTTTCTAAGAAAATCAAAACATAATTATTTCTATGTCTTTTGCTCAATAGGTTGTCAACTTACTATTATACGATCATAGGTTATCTTTCTCACACTTACAAATCTTCACACCGGAAATAAATAACACAATTACCTCCCAATTATCTCCCTTGTTTTCCTATTCCCCACCATGGAATAGCTATCTTTAAACGTTTTAATTTGAAGTTGAAAATGATATTTTTGCCAATTTCTCAACTGGCAACAGTGAATTATAGGATTAATAGGATTGTTTTTTAACAAGGTAGGACTGTTTATAGATACCATCTATTTTAGGGCTTTATTTTAATACATTTTAAAAATATATCTTAAAAATATGAAATTGTAACTTTAAAGTAGTTTTGCCTTTTGTGAACTAGAAATTGGTCCATAGAAACAAATTTAACCTAGTTTTTAGCTATACAGGGGGTATTCACAGATAGAACCATCACTATCCTTAAGTATTGTACAAATAATTATGCATGATCTCCAAGAATAAGTCCAAATATGCCAGAATTTATCTAGGAAAGCCTTTTCTTCCCCCCAAAAAAGTAATTTTGTGAGATTAGAGGGAGACAACTCATGAATTAATTATTCTAGTTTGTAGTAATCAAATAATGTAACTGTAACATAATTTTATATTTAAATTGATACAAATTGGTGGAAAACTAAAAGTACACAATAGAGAAGTTCTCTTCTTAATATTTATACAAGTATAGGATTTACCTTTGACCAACGCTTGAAGACTAAGGGGAGACAATTCAATATGCTAAAAATAAAGACCGGTTGATTGGTTGCTTAGTTTCATTGACATGCTAAAATGTCTCTTAAAAATGATTATTAGCAAAAATCAATAAATACTCAAGCCTTTCCCCACATTGTTTATTGCATTAAAACATGAGTCATATAATTTTTCAGGTAGTGCCGCTGATGTTTGTGAACTGAAATCTAAAGATGAGGTGCTGTCAATCAATAAAATTGATGTCTCAAAACTGACCAATCAGGAAGCTAATAATTTAATCCAGGAATCGGCAAGACAGGGATCTGTAGAGATACGTGTCAAGAGATTTTTAGATAGTAATTGTGAGTCAGTTTTGTCTGTTCATAAATATTATATAGGCTTAAAATTATTTAAAATTTAAATCTTCTGTTTTAAACGGCATTTAGAAACTGAACACATTCAAATGAAAAAAAACCTGTTTTATGGAAAGACCAGGTCATTTTGCTATTAACACATATTGTCAAACTAAAGCAAAAATTGTCAGTTAAAGAACCGATTATCCATTTCATGATTAAATCATGAATGAAAGTTGAGCAGCAAATCGAATCCTAATCCAGTAAATATCGCAGGCTGATGACATCGAGAGTTGATTATGGTCTGGATAGGTTAATTAATGTCTAATTAATAATTTAGATAACATTTCAGGCCAAAATAAAGACCTGCAATAGGCAGATTTAGCTCTTACATAATGTATGTTTAAGTTATTTTTGAAAATACATACTGTAGACATAATTAAACGTCCTCAAAGTTTTCAATTAGGCATTTAGAATTCAGTAGACATTTTTAACAGTCCAAATTGCTTTTTTTTATTAAGCCTTAGTTACTACCTCATGAAAAATATTACCAGAGGACATCTCATAATTATTTCAGTTGATCAAAAAATGACGCTTAAAAAAAGTCTGTTTACATTGTCAAATATGTTAAAAAGGACTCGGGCCAAATCTGCTTTAGCTACATGTAAACAAGGTGATCCTTGATATATGCACACAATACAATTAGTACAAGAGGAAGGGAGGGCAGATATAAGCTCATCTTTTCGGCCTCAACTAGTACAACCTGCATGTAGTTATGGAAATCCAAGTATGAATAATATCAACTTGAATAATATGAATAATTGCAACTTGTTATCGTATGAGAGCATCTTTTGGCCCCCAACTAGTTATGAATACAACACAACTTGTTATTGTATATTTGTAGTAGATGACAGCGATGAGTTTATTTCAAGTGATGAAGAAGATGATGTGAAGAAAACAGAACAATCAAGGGAGACAACACATTCATTTGATTCTAGTTATTCTCAGGTAGACTAAAATAATATATTGTCATGGATGAGTAGGATGTTATAAAACGTCCTGTTGTTAAATAGGAAAAGATTCACATCTTCTTTTTTCTATTATTGCTTTTCTTCTTTAACCTGGTTGGTGTGGCTCGGGAGCTCCAGATTTAGAATCGTACGATCCCTAGATAGTTCCCCAGGATGGGAAACAGAGATTTCATGTACCTGGCCCCTTGTTCACAAAGCAATCTCAGACTTAGTATTGAATTTGCTCAATTTTTCAATCACTGTTTATGAGAAATATCTTGTCAGTGTTGTAGAATGGAGGGACTGGCAAGGGACATTGTATAGTGGTACGGATGAGATGAATAACCATGGTCCTGTGTACACATTTGCATGCACGTAAAAACACCCTTGATAGTTGGAATTCGATATAAGAGTAGGCCATAGCACTGCTGTCTGGGCAAGTTTTCCCTCATAGCACACTGCATGGCATATGCTCGTTGTTATTAGACCAATAGGAGCAGAACAGTAGGACGTTAAATTTCATTTCACATATTTTTGTGCACGTAAAAGAACCCTTGACAGTTTGAATTCTATGAATAGTAAGACAGAAACTCCACTGTTAGTGCAGAATAATAATATGTTACCGTTTCTTTTCATTTCTTAAAATAATCTTAAACTTTATTTCATTTTATTTCTGAAAAAATCATCTAGATATTATAAATAACTGTAACTGTTGTATATATTTTTTACAGGATAAAGATGAAGATGTACAAGCCAACTATAATACCCAGACATCGTATAATTACTCAGAACAACCGTTAATACAACAACTCAAAAATGATACCAGTCTTCAAATGGTACGTTGTATACAGCTACACCACAGGGACTTGTATTTATAATCTTGGTTGTTAAGCTAACCATAACACAGGGCCTTGTATTTATAATGTTGATTGTTCAAACTCTATAACATAGTATTTTTTAATTTCATGTATGTATAGAGTCAAGTGGCAAGGTTTCGATTCCCCGCTTGTACGGGACAAGGACTAGGGTCGCCTGTCCAACCTCGTGGGTTTCCTCTCACTGCTAAAGAGCCCTACGTGCGAGCGAATTAATGAATTAAAATCGAACCATATGTTAGTCCTGAAATGACCTAGTTTGTGTCGAGTGGACCTTAAACCCCATTTCTCTTTCACTCTATTATTATTAATCAACATTTTTCATAGTAATTTGACTAAAATTTTCAGCATATTCCCTTTCAATTTTCTATTTTTTAATTATTATAGCGAGAACTGTCAGCTCTTTATCTAATCTTCCATGATGCCACTTTAATATAAGCGTCTTTTTCTTCTTTCAGCAATTCGATCCTAACAACGACAGTTCTTATCAATCGGCAGAAACTGTCAATCAAAGTTACTCCAGTTACACGTCATCAAGAAACACTAGCTCTGTTGATGACTATATTAATAGCAGTTCGACTAACGAGTTCGTTAACACAAGTCAACCAAACTATGTCAACACTAGCCAACCGAATTATGTCAACACCAGTGAACCAGATTACATTAATCAGAGGGATGCCAGTAAATTTGTTAATTCTGGATATAGTGACACAAGTGAACCTGGATATAACACGAACGATACACACGGATATAACACAAGTGACACTGGATACAATAACACAAGTGACTCGAATTATGTGCAGAGGAGTCGTCCTAATCACCATGACTATGTGAATACTGACAGCCTGGGTTCGTGGGGATATCATGGTAGTCCACCAGAAACACAAAAGGAAGATGAAGTTGTCTTGAGAAGAAAGAAACCAGCAGAAGAGGTTAATTCCTCGAGTAAGTATATTATTATTTTCGTACCACCCCCTGTCATGACATATGTCATGATACCAACATGACACCAGTCATGACACAGCTTATTGCACTTGGAGGGGGGTTGGATGGCCGAATGGTTAGCGTGTGCTTTCTATCACAAGGTCTGTCTTTGAGTCAACTGGCGTGGTTTCAATTCCCCGGTCGCCTGTTTCCTCCTACTGCTAAAGACCCCTATGCGCAAACGAATTAATTATTGAAATAAAATTGAACCATATGTTAGTCCCGAAATGACCTAGTTTGTGTCAAGTGGATGTTAAATTCTATTCTCTCTCTTTATTGCACTGGATCATAATACCAAACTGACACAATGCCATGTCATGACAGCCATTGTGGCACTTAACGTGACATGCATTATAATATCCATCATGACACCAATTGACCCTCCCAGCTTATGGCATTTGGATTTTAAATGCCATGATCACTGACAGCCATGATGATACAATGGATGTCATGACGATCATAATGGCAGCCATTGTGACACTTAACATGATAGCTGTCCCGACAGCCATGGATTTTGGATGACATGGTTACTGATGGATTTCATCCGGGATACTCAATGTTGATGATCCTGATTCTCCAGTCAACACAAAGTGCTCTAGACACTGGTTCTTCACACATCAATGGCGGTATATCACATGTTAGTCTCGAAATGAACTAACTTTAAGAGTAGGCCATAGCGTCACTGTGCAGGCACAATTTCCCTTATAGCACACTGTATGGCATATGCCCATCTGCATTAGCCCTGTCGGAGCAGAACAGTAGGATATTAAACCCCATTTCATTTAATTTTCAGTTCATTAGAAATGAAACTTTTATTCTTATATTTTTCTTTTTCTTAATTTCAGGTTCGTTTGATGAATCTGATAGAGTTAAGTCCCCTGCAAATGTAGATAGCGGGGATTCTGATGGTCCACCTGCTATACTTCGAAAATGGCAGAGACAAAGACCTAAATCAGAATACAAGTATCAGGACGAAAAAACCATTATTAACCAGAAGCGTCTGAGCGCTACGTTACCATGGCAACCAGAGCATAGTGGAATCGAAGACAGACCAGAGGAGCCTGTTTTGGATAGAAGCGCAAGTGATTATGTGAACAGTCAGCCTCCATCATCTTCTCGGGGCAGTAACTTTAACAAGCGCAGGGATCGTAAACGTATTGAAGAATGGAATAATCAACAAGAAGAGAGACGTCAGGTAGGAATGACGGTTATATATCGTTCAAATGCTAAAGAAATATCTGTTTTTCATTTGATAAATCAAAACCAATTTTCCTATGATTGTGGGAGAAGTCGTAGTAAGAGGTTGTATTATTGCTCAGAGACCCGTGTGCCATTTGACGTGCAACTTGTAACCATAGAAATAAAAATGGTTTATGTTTCACAATATGACTGATGTATTGTGTTGACAAGACATTAACGGAGAGAAATGGGTTTTAATTAACGTCCTCTTAACACAAACTTGGCGTCTTTAGCAATGGGAGGAAACCAGGGGTACCTGGAGAAAACCCATGAGGTTGGACAGGCGACCCTAATCCTTGTCATGTACAAGCGGGAAATCGAGACATTAACCCTATTCCACTCCTTTCCAAATATACTAAAGATCCCTCACTGTAATTATAAATTAAAGTTTCTGTCCGTCATTTGAATTTTGCTTAATCCATGCTAAAATCTATTCATATTGATTATCAACGGTAGAAAATCTCTTGGCTTAAATTTAATCAGATTAAAAAGAAGCCCATTAAAGTATTTAAGTACTAATTTTTGGCGCTGGTTTTTGTTTTATATGGCCCGTCTATATATCATCTAATCAACACGAAACCATAATATGGAACACAATTACTATTTTAATTAAAGCGACGTTTCGTTGAGGGTTCTCTCAACGCTTTCAAGCAAACGAAATGTCGCTTTAATTAAAATAATAAATGTGTTCCATATTATGGTATTGTGTTTATTACCTGTAGCAATTGCTAAATGCCGGGCAAAGAAGATATATATCACCTGCAGAGTGACAAATTTAACAATTCATCCTATCTTTTGAACCGTATTCCGCAATCCCTTAAATGACGATTAGAGCCTTTAAGTTAACCTTGTAAAAGTTTAATATCACTGTGTCTTGTTTGTGTTATTGCACTTTCCTTAACTCTGCATGATATTCTCCTGTTGTTTTTGTCGTGGAGATATTTAGTATTTCTGCATGAAGTTTATCAAAATGAAAAGATGATCTAACAAATGAATGTTTATTGAATGGGAATGTTACATTGTAGTTATTTATAGTTGATGCAGAATTTTACACCTCAAAATCATTAGGCAGGTTACTTTAGGATCAAATGAGAAAATCTAGGAATATGACAGTATCTTTCAAGATGTGAAACTGTTTTCAGATCATTATCAGTAAAAGTTAATTCATATTGGCACAAATAGTATTACAATCTATATGTATCACTCATAACAAGTGTTATGGCCATCTGAAGTTTGCATACTTTCTATTGATTTCATGCTGCAATCTTTAATTTCTTGTAACTGTCTGTCAACATCTAAATGATAACTCATTTTCTTCAATATCGAAGGTCGAGGACATGATGCATATTTTGTTTTAACCGTCTAAATTATTATCCAAAGATTATCCAAAGACATTTTCTGGTCAATATGATCGAGTTTAGAGTCCCGGAACTCTGATATTATCAGGAATTATATTTTCGCGTTAAATTCTGCATCACTAGAATAAGGTATTAGATAATAGAAGTAGATAAACTAACCAACTATTTGTGATGTTTTATTATTTTAACAGCCTGCTGATGCCAATGAAAATGGTGTAGATATAAACTTCACTTATAATCAGGTAAAAATTATAAAATTCTGCGTCCGTGTTATAACGGACTCATTCCCTTGTTTTATGGTGAACGCATGGGTTTGTTAAAATAGGTGTGTCAGTAAACATTATAAGATTCTGTGTCCGTGTACCGACTCATTCCCTTGTTTTATGGAGAAAACATTGGTTTGATAAAATAGGTTCGTCAGTAAACATCATAAGATTCTTTGTCTAAGTTTTAACCAACTCATTCCCTTATTTTACCAAGAAAGCACAGGAGTATTTAAATGAGTCCATTGGTCCATGACACACCTTTTAATCGGAGGTACATGTAGAATGCTGGTGTACAAGTCTAGGCTGAGTTTGATTTTGATGATGATTCTTCTCTGCTTAGCCTATTTGTCATATTCTGTGCCCAGTGTTTTAACCGACTCATTCCCTTGTTTTACCGAGAAACCATGGGAGCATTAAAATGGTTCCATTAGTCCATGACACACCTTTGAATCTCTGAGGTAGAAGGCTGGTGTAGATGTTCATTAGAAACATGCCTTGGCTGGGTTTGGTGATGATCCTTTCTCCTTCCGCTATTTGTTGATAACATTGATTATGATTGTGAGTGTATAGTTTCATTACGTCAATACTTTGACTAAATTCGATAATGAGCACTTTCTGCTGAGGTTAAGCAGAGTGATAAATAATTTGACTGCTCCATGTTTTATAAAAAAGGATTATTGTCCTCATCTGATATTAATGTATTTTGATATTGAGTTGGACAATATCAGCCCCACTGTTTTTTCTTTATATAAGTGTTGTAGATAACACTGACAACATTTTGAATAAAATTTCAAACATCTTCGACAAGTCCTCGTCATTGTAATGAAAATTGTTATGTATTTCAGATACAAACACATTTTCGTTCATAGAATAATCAACTAAGAATTTTCAATGGTTCGTTGAACAAAAAAATTTAAGTTCATGATTAAATTTGGGTAAAATGGAAGATTGATCGAAATAGAAAATATTTGACCCTTAGTAACGAATGTAAAAAATAAACGACTTAACGGGAAATGTTTCTAAAAAATTTGAATTATTGCCTGAACTGGCGCTATAATTGAATGATTGAATCAGTTACAAAACTCAGTTACAAAACAAAACTCAGATTGACAGGAATGTTTGATTGACAAGATGTTGATTTCATGCTTATATTTTTTGATACAGGCGGAATTTGAGAATAGACAGGAACAGATACAGAGACAATACGAAGAAGAACAGAAACGTGCGGCTGAGATTCAACTACAACAACAACAACAGGTAGCTATAGCAGCGCCCCTAGTTACTACTTAGTTACTATCAGCTGCAGTTATAGCAGTGTGGTATTGGCGGAAATAGTCGTCATTTTACGATCATGCACGCGTGTCTGGGCTAAAAATGTTTATTCTAGGAAGGAAATGGAGATGAAAAACTAATAAGGTCCTGTGCAAACAGTGTCTGTGTATTATACCCATGATATTTGGTTCAATGAATTCCAAACATGTATGTCACTAGGCTGACCTCATGGATTTTAAACATTATTGAAATGAGTTAGTGTCTTGGGGTGTTTTTTTTTTGTTTCAACTTAACGGTAAACCACAATTTCAATTTTTTTAGGAGAAAGAACTTTTGGAGCCTGAAATGGAAAGAATGAGACTACTTGAAGAACGCAAGCGGGAAAGGCGAAAGCGTCTTGAACAACTACATCAAGAGGATACCGGACCAATGAATGCTCCTGTCCCTTCATCTCAACCAATCGAAACAGTTGAGACAAGAAGTACATTAGCATACAGAGCACCTAGGGATAATTCTTATCAAAATGCCTACGAACCTGTACATCAAGAGGATACCGGACCAATCACAGCTGCTGTTTCTGCTTCTCAACCAATGGAAATAGTTGAAACAAGAAGCACATTAGCATACCGACCACCTAAATATAATAATATTAATGTCTATGAACCGGACTACGTCAATCAGCCAGCAGAAAATCGTTCCACTATGAATATTCAAGTAGCTGGTGGTCGTCCGCAAGCCCCTGTGCATCAAACAGAAGAACCCCAGAGATCTGCCATGTCTTTCAAACTGCCAGCCAGCCAATCAGGTGGTCTGGTCATAGATCCTCGAAATCAATTGGATGAAAGGTATTACAAATCAAATTTTCTGATACAAAATCTTTGATAATGTTTCTGTGTTCTCGAAGAATCACAGTTCTATGAAAAACAATTACTTTCAATTAGAGTGAAATTGCAACAATGATTTGTCATTTAAGATACATTATGTAAAATTTAGATAAAGAGTTGGCCATTCTCACTATAATGCTCAAAAATAAATAATGTAAAATGAAAATATTAAAAATTTCATTCAAACTTCTTCATTTTGAGTCAAGTTATCACTAACTGTGTGCATTGTGGTAACCAGGGCACTGGTATATTCGAGACTTGGCCTCGCTTTCCCATTTTTAAATGGCAAACCATTCTAAACTAGTTAAAATTTTGAGTATCTGATGCCATCAGGCGTTGATTATGATCTTGTTTTGTTAATAAATGTCTAATTAATAGTTTATATAACGTTTTAGGCCTAAAGAAGACCTTAATAGGCAGATTTAACTCTTGAATTATGTATGTTTAGGTTTAAAAACGACAAAAGAATCATTGTAGATATGTAGCTCTGATTAGATACAGTAAATGATTTCCATAGAACTATTGTGATTACTTTAATCAACAGGTGATTCATGTCAATTCTGGACATAAGGCACCTGTCAGACATTATCAGACAAATATTATTACACTTTTTATATGTTATATACGTTGTGGAATAATCTGAACTTGTCAAAATCTGTGACAGGTGCCTTATCTCCATGAGGCTTGTATATATACGTTGTGTGGTATTTTGTTTCTGACAAAATCTGTGACTAATACCGTATGAAAAAGTCTGTGACTGATACCTTATGACAAGGCTTGTTAATATGTTAAAATAGATGCTGTTGCCAGCAGAATAAATCTAAATTTTAATATAAAGAACAAAGTTAATATTAGATAGGCAATAATGATATTTATATCAAGTTTGAACAATTCATATTATTGTTATAACCAGTTAAGGACTATTGTTGGAAATACATTTATAAATAATTTCTTTAATCTCCAGTGAACCAGTACCTCAATACAGCATTCAACTTAGTCTTGATCAACCAGACACATCACGTGGCATGATTATCCAGCCAGAACAAAGAACCATTCCAGGTATATTTTTTATCAAAATGTCAGTTCCCATGAAACGTATAGATGATGTTGACGATATTAAAATTGTTTTATTTGAGCATAAAATAGAAGATATTAATTGGAACAATTATATCCTATTTTAACATTTAAAAAATTGAAATGAACTGTATTTAATGTTGCAAGCCATGGTGGCTCAGTGAGTAAGACATTGGCTCGCTAAACCGAAGGTCCCATCGTCGATGCCAGTGTTGGCCGAGCAAGTTCATCAGGATTATCTGGCGTGGTTCCCCTCTTGTCAGTGGTGCAGGACAAACGATCTGGCAACGGATAACATATAGTTGTTTAGATGCATCTTTACTTTATTTTATCCTAAATTAACTATAGCCAACACTTGTTCAGCCTGGTAAATTAACTATAGCCAACACTTGTTCAGCCTGGTAAATTAACTATAGCCAACACTTGTTCATCATGGTAAATTAAATATAGCCAACACTTGTTCATCATGGTAAATTAAATATAGCCCCAAAACATTAAATATATTCATCATGGTAAATTAACTTTTTTCTTTAGTTGTTGATATTTAAGTTTATGTGTGTGTAGTTATTTCATAGTTTTAGTAATTGTAGTATTGATAGTTATTATACATATTAGATAGAATATTTGATAATGTTACATGTGATAACCACCGATCTATAACCAATAACGGCCCACAAGTACTTTTTTTCAGAGAATAGAAAACACTCCATCACTCTCATAATAATGTAAACATTTTCTTTCAAGCCTGGTCTATTTTAATGAATAATTATTAAATATGGGGGAGGGGGGAGCATGCTGTAGGACATTATTTGCTAGACAAGATGGAATTTTTCAAGTCTGGTTCTCAGTTGTCAGGACTAGCATCTAAGACACTGATAAAAAAAGGTTTGTCCGTTCATTTGGATGGATTGAAAGACTAAGGCATGCACATAAAAGAACCCTTAATGACTGGAATTCAAGAACAGTAGGTCCAAAACACCACTGTCCGGGCAAAATTCCACCATTGCTTTGCACAAGTATCCATTGAAATGAAAATGAGTGCATGTTAGTCTTAAAATGTTAAATGTAGTTTTTATTTTATTATTAATTTTAGTTATTGTAGAGGTCACACATTATTTAATTTTTGTTGTTCGTGAAAATCTATCTTGATTCCTATTTCTTGTGGGAACAAATTTAATTTAAAAACAAAAAGAATTTAGTTCTAGGTTTAGTTTATGAAGTTTAGTTATGAAATTTTAAAGAAAACAATGTACACAAATAATTAAATATGTTTGGCCTTAGCCTAGAATATTAAAGGTAGTTGGGTGTTGGACTAACAATTTGTTGTTTTCGGTGATTTTTTTTAAACAGTCCATGATGCCAATTTTATAGAACAAGAGAAACAAAAGATTCGTCAGGAATATGAGAAATTTGAGAAATCAATGCGACAACAGCAAGAAGAAGAGGAGCGAAAATTCCGAGAACGGGAAGAAAAGTTACGTCAACAAGAGGTAATTATTTGATTGGTTCGTTGGAATTTTGTGGTGGTATGTTTTTTCGTTTTTTTTAGATTTCAGGTGTTTTTTATTTGTTTTTGGTGGAGATTATTTTTATGTTTTGGTTTATGGATTAAAACTTTAAATCTGGTCGTTTCGATTTAGTTAACATCATGAAAGATCATAAGATTTTATTTATTTGTGCATTTTGGGTTGGAATAGTGTGGTGGCATTTGGTGGAATTTTTATTTATTTTAGTCTGTTGTTATTGCAGGCCCATCGAAACTCCCCATCCCTTCCAATAATTTGCAAATATGTGTTCCTGACATAGTTTTAAAATTTTCCTGGATAACTACACTTACCCTCCCCCCCCCCCTCCCCCCAATTGAATTCCAGTCCGAAGGATCTGTATTGTTTTTGATTTTTGTTATGATTAGTTAATTTGGGGATTTTTTTTTGTAATCATTTCTTATAATTAATAATAATTTGGGCTTGGTTACAAACAAAAAAACTGCATGGCTTTATTTTATGGAGATAAATTTTTCAGGTATGTAATATAAAAAAAAAATTTTTTTCTTTTTTTATGATGATTTCCTTCATTGAACTATTTTTCCTTTCATGTTTCATCGAGATTAACTAGGTCATATAGTGCAACCCTCAGATTTTGTTTAAACGGTATTTGTTTCGAAAATATTGTACAATTTAAAAGCATAAAGAGTAGTATACAAGAATATACCAAGTAGACTTATATTAACTTGATTTCTTTGCTCCCACTGCTAAATACCCATACACGCAAACGAATTAATGAAATAAAATTGAATCATATGTTAGTCCCAAACTGACCTAGTTTGTGTCGAGTGGACGTTTAAGCCCATTTCCCTCTCTCTCTATATATATATATATCTGTCAAAAATAATCGAATGGCATGCCTAACTTCGTGGGTTTCAGTTATGAAGCTCAGTTTCTTGCCACTTAGGCACAAATGAATGAATGAAATAAATATATACAATATGTTAGTCACAACCTACATATTGTTAAGTGGATGTTAAACCTAATAAATTTTCTCTCTGTAAAATAATCTGTTAAAGATACTATGAAACGTACATTTCTACTTTCAACATGAAAATATTCAAAAGTAGCATAAAAATCTATGTACAGATCTGATTAAAATACAGGAGCCTGTTTCACAAAATTTTAACTAAAGATCAAATCAAATTTTAGTAGATACTTCAATTTTGATTGGCTAAGCACTAAAATCAATCTAATATTATCCAATCAAATTAACTAAAATCTAGATTTTATCTTATTTAAAATTTCGTGAAACAGGCCCCAGATCTATATTTCGTTTTGTTTTGATGGCCTACACTACATGAAGATCTGACTGGTTGTACTGGAAGGTCGCATCAGAGTTCATACAAGCGGCTCTTGACCTTTTGATGTCAGACTTTGATTAATCAATCAGTGTTGACGTTTCAAGTGATTTACCCACAGTTCCATGCATTGCACGCCAAGAACTCCCCGTAACAGACTGTTTCATTGGCTAATTCCTCGCTTCAACCAGAATGCCTGTAATATAACAACTCTTCTAGATCCTAGTGTAGTAAAGACAAGTAAACCGAAACGAAATAGGATCTGTGTTTTAATCCGATTGCAATCTGCGAAGTCATCAACATCACTATTTGAGCAGTGGATTGACTGGATATGTCTCAAATTTATCATAGTCTAATTTGAACACCCCAACCCACATCCCATAGTGTAACTGCATGTCTCTTTATATATTTGATTTTTGGTCTATTTCAGGAACGTCTGAGGAGAGACGAAGAAAGAATTCGCCAAGAAGAGGAAAAATTAGAAAGAGAGCGTCAGAATCTTTTGAATAGTTCCGCGGAATTTATGAAGCATAATGAGCCAAAACCTTATCAGCCATCTCCGACACGAGTCCGGGGTCAAGGTTCATTGTATACATCAACAGTAACACCTGCAAACAGACACGAGCCAATCAGACCCTCTACTTTCTCTACTTCAATGGTTGTTGACAACACAAGGGGAAGTAAGCACCATGTACAAAAAGTGGAACCAACATGGCCACCTAGCAACAAGCCTAAGCAACCGGGAAATATCAGTGTCATGCGAACCCACGGAACAGAAAGTAATGCATTTAGAGACAGTCATAATAAACCTAATACTAGTGCTAACAGGCAGAGTCAAGATTATTCTCCTAGGGAACAAACAGGCGTTCAATCAATGAAAATGAGATTTTCCGAACCAAATCAGAGAAATAGTTTGTCTCGAGAAGATATGCTGGCCATGAACCGAACCGCTAAACCTTTACAAAAGAAACCTGAAGGATCCGACAGTGCTACCAGTCCTACCACAACGGGACCAATAAAACGAGAGACCCCAACTCGACAAGAAATCCATTCCCTCAATGCTGTTCCTAAACCAAAACTCCGCCAGTCTGTTGATTGGATAGGAAGAAACGATTCGTCCAATGAAAGAAGAGCTGCACCTAGACGCTCAGAAATCATGAAGAATCAGTATTCTGATTCGCTTCAAGGTCATTGGGTGATTGAAGAAGCTGAACGACGCCGAATGAACAGTGACTTAAATGTGAAATCGTCCACGCTACCCATTCAACCAGGTCCTTACACTGGTCCGGTGAAACCTCCGCGGGATCACGGAAATATATGGAGTGATAATAGTGCTAATCATCCCAGACAATCTCAATATTCCAGTTTACCACCACGAACCGATCCCAACATGCCCTTACAAATACGCCAGACATTGTTACAAAAAACGGCCAGTGCTCGGGGATCGAATGGGAGCAGCTATTCCCAGGAACTGAACATAAATGTGCCTCAAATGTCCAGAAATTCCCCTAATCTTTCACAGACAATGCCTGCATCTTATGGTTATGATTCTCCAAGATCAGATTATGGTGCTCCGCGTTTATCGTCTCAAGCCCCACCAGCACCTGATGGTTCTAATGATCAGGTGCCTGTTAGTGGTAAACAGTTGTGTTCATCTTGTAATCAAGAATTAGGTGGGTATTGATATCAAGATGATGTTACCAAGGTATTGTTGCCAAGGGGATGTTACTATGGCAACATTTCTCTCAATGTTTTTTTTGTCATTATTTCCAATCTGCAACAGAAATTTGTAAATGCAACACCTTCTAAAGCATTTCTTTTACTATTTCCTTAAAGCGAAGGTATTGTCAACAAGGTGATGTTACCATAGTAACATTTCTTTCAATGGTTTTTTTTTTGTATTAATTCAAATTTGCAACAGGAATTCGAAGACAAGAAACCCTCTTGAGCTTTTTTTTTTATTATTTCCTTAAAGCTGGTGATCAACATGTAAGGGATTCTGAGTCCCTTGTAAACTATAGTATTCTTAACAATCCATCAATTGACATAATAGTAAGTGCAGGAGGACTGCATGACTATACGCAAAACAAAACTTTCAAGAGGAACCTGTGCACAAGACGGAATACATAGACATTACAAGAAATAAACAACAATATCAGAGTTTGATAGGAAAAGAATAAAGTACAATCGCATTAGATTTTTTTTTACTCACTTTATACGAATGTCACTAAATGAAACCTGTTTAGGAAAAGGGAGCCACGGTGGCTTAATGAGTAAAATGTTGGCTCGCTAGTCTAGAGGTTCGGTGTTTGATCCCTGTGTTGGCTGAGAAAGTTCAGTATTTTCAGTGGTGCAGGACAAGGGATGATATATAGTCGTTTGGATGGGATGAAAAACCAAGGTCCTGTGTACACAAGAAGAGTTCTTGGCAGTTGGAATTTGATATAAGTGGGGCTGTAGTGCCACTACCTGACCTAATTTCCGTCATAGCACACTGTATGGCACATCTTTCAATGTTGGCTTGTTTATTTATTTTCTAGCTTTATTTTTCCTATGTTTATTTCTTTTGTTTGTTCATTTGTAGGTTTTGGTGCTGCTATGATAATAGAGAAGTTAGGTTTATATTATCATATGCCCTGCTTTAAGTGCTGTGTTTGCCGAACCCCTTTGGGCAACGGCTCCGAAGGTGCTGATGTGAGAATCCGAGTCAATAAATTACACTGTCCCAACTGCTACAGCAACGATGAAGGTATCTCTACAATTGGGTGAATTAATTGTTGTCAGGAGTGACACAACGTCGTGACACAACGGCACAGGTGAAGACATGTCCGTCATTCTATACTGGATGGCAGTAGTTCCAGGGTTGGATTGTTGCTCTGCACTAATCTTCATTAATTCAGTTTCTACATTTTTTTTAATTTGCTAACCTTTTGAAATAATTTTGTAGATTTTTTCTTAACATTTTGTTAAACTTATGCTTTTAGCAAATCTTTAGTTTTATTTTAATTCTACAGTAAGTTTAGATCATTTTCATAATTTTTAAAAAAAAATATCAATTTGCACGGAGTTTGTTTTGATGTTTAATTTCTTGAAACACTAAAACCATTAATTCACATTCAAGTATTAATTTACTATTTTTGAATATTTTAGATGCTTAAAACATAAGAACAAATGGTATTATGAATTCTTTTCAGATAGGAAATCAAAGCAATTTTCAGGGAGAATTAGCAATTAATTTTTAATTAGCTATCTTTGGTGAATAAAATGGAGATTAATTTCTATCATCCATCATAGTTTTAATTTGTCATATTTTCATCATTCATTGCTTGAAATTTATTAACAATGTTTTAGGTCGATATTAACTTTTGAAATGGATTCATACAAAATATCTAGGGAGTCTGGGTTACGTAGATCTAAATTACGTATCACTGTAGTGGCTCCAGTAAGTAAGATTTTGGATTGCTAACCTGGAGATCCAGTGTTTGATCTTGGTGTTAGCCGAGAAAGTTTGACAAGATTCTCCGGAGTGCTTCCCCCTTGTCAGTGGTGTAGGGCAGAGGACCTGGTAAGCCCATTGTCAGTGGTGTAGGGCAGAGGGCCTGGTAAGCCTATTGTCAATGGTGTAGGGCAGAGGGCCTAGCAAGGGACAACATATAGTTGTTGAAATTCAAAATAAGAATCTCCCCCCCCCCCCATAGCATGGCGTATGCCCATCTTCATTAGCCCAGTTGGTGCAGAAAAGTAGGGGGAGGAGAGAATGGCCGAATGGATAATGCACGATGAAGCAGAAGTCTGTCATTGAGTCAAGTGGCGTAGTTTTGATTCCCCGCTTGTACGTGACAAGGAGTAGGGGGGCCGGTCCAATCTTGTGGGTTTTCTCTTGGTCTTCCGGTTTCCTCCCTCTGCTAAAAGACCCCTACGCGCAAGCAAATTATTGAAATAAAATTAAATCATATGTTTTGATTCCCTGTTGTACGTGACAAGGAGTAGGGTCGCCTGCCCAACCTCGGGGTTTTCTCTGGGTCCTCCAGTTTCCTCCCATTGCTAAAAGACCCCTACGCACAAGCAAATTATTGAAATAAAATGGAATCATATGTTTTGATTCCCGGTTGTACGTGACAAGGAGTAGGGTCGCCTGCCCAACCTCGGGGTTTTCTCCGGTTCCTCCAGGTTCCTCCCACTGCTAAAAGACCCCTACGCGTAAGCAAATGATTGAAATAAAATTGAACCATGTGTTAGTCCCGAAATGACCTAGTTTGTGTCGAGTGGACGTTAAACCCCATTTCTCTCTCTCCCTCTATATGTTTAGTAGGATATCATATAAGCATGGATGATGAAACTATGATGATTTATAATTAGACAAGGGTAGATAACTGGCAGTCTCTTCTCTGAATCCAACCCTGACATAGACATGTGTGCTGGACTCATTATTTCATTTCTCTCTTTAATTCTCTTATCTTTTCATCCCCTCTTTTCATCCCAGCTTCAGGCTTCACAATATTTCTAGTGATTTTAATGTGTATATATTGTGATGTTAATAATTATTTATGTTATCTTGAGATCAAAGCTTATTCCTGTTCGTGTAAATGTAATAATCTTGAAATTAGCATTCCATGATAATAAGTAAACTGGAAATTAGCATTCCGTGATGATGTGGAAATTGAAATTAGCATTCCATGGTAGTAAGAACATTTGAAATTTGCATTTCATAGAAATAGAAAAACTTGTAATTTGCATTCCATGGAAATAGTTAAACTTGATATTAGCATTCCATGATAATATGAAAACTCAAAATTAGAATTCCATGTAATTTGGAAATTTGAAATTAGCATTTCATGGTGAAATGATAACATGGAATTAGAATTCCATGGTAAAATAAAAACTTGAAATTAGCATACCATGGAAATATGAAACTTGAAATTAGCATTCCATGGAAATAGGAAAACTTGAAATTTGCATTCAATGGAAATAGGAAAACTTGAAATTTGCATTCCATGGTAATGGTAAAACTTTAAATTAGCATTCCGTGGTAAAATGATAACATGAAATTAGTATTCCATGATAATTGGTACTCTGGAAATTTGCATTCCATGGAAATGGTAAAACTTGAAATTACTTGTAGCATTCCATGGAAATAGGAAAACTTGAAATTAGCATTCTATGGTCGTAAGAAAACTTGGAATTGGCAATCCATTGACATAGGAAATCTTGAACATGCATAATCATTTTCAAAATGCATTCTTTTATTTGTATTTATGCACTTGACATAATGCATTTGTAGTAATATTATAGTATCTTATATATGTTATACACACGATATATTTATATTAAACACATTTTAATTTGTTTGATTTAATCCACTTTTAAATATATATTTCTAAATTAATAAATAATAAAAATTCTGAAAAATTACATGTTATGGTAATATATTGATATAAATAAATTTTGGGGCCTTATTTATGAAGAAAAATTCAACTAAGATCTTTTAAGGATGCAGTGTTTCCATTAGTCAAAGGTTAAAATTCTGGTACCAATTTTTGCATTTAGCTAATGTAAAGGCTGCATTCTTTAAATATTTAGTTTTCATGAATGAATGAAGCCCTGAAAATAATATTATTGACTACTTTCATTTTGAAATTTTAGCATATGTCTTACTTTTTTGATCTTTGTATTTTTCAGCTGGTTTAAAGTTCAGTAAGGTTTAACAGATCTACAGATTTATATAATATTATATATTATAACCAATAAATATAGCGCAATATTTAATACTACACATAAAAACATGGACATACGTTTACATATGCCTACCAGAACAGATAACTCCAGATCTTCATCTCACAGTTCAATATAATGTATATTTCAAGAATAAACCATAACACATATTATGAAAAAAAAGTAACGGTACTTATTTTGGGACTAATCAAAGAGTATTCTTTCAGTGTTAAGCTAATACGCTGCCCAAATATATTAGTAGCCGTTTCCCATAAGTATATGTTATGAAAAACAGCAACGATACTAATTTATTTTGGGACTAATCAAAGAGTATTATTTAAATGTTAAACAATGCACTGCCCAAATATATTAGTAGCTGTTTCCATAAGTATGTGTTATGAAAAACAGCAACAGTTCTAATTTATTTTGGGACTAATCAAAGAGTATTCTTTAAATGTTAAACTAATACGCTGTCCAAATATATTAGTAGCTGTTTTCCATAAGTATACTTTATAATAGTGTATAAACGATTAGTATGTTTTTGTTATTTAAAGCAAACAGAATTTAACGTGCAGCATTTACCCAACAAGTTATAAATTTGAATGTCTGATGTGATTGTTACTAAATTTTTTCCGGAATAATTTTGTTAATGATTACAATATTGTATATCTAAAATCAGGCCCGCTCCATCTACAATGCAAAACTTATAAAAAGATCTGCAATAGACACATTTATCTCTTACATGATGCATCTTCGATACATTATACACAATTGTGCGCTTTTATAACTTGGGTTTGGGATGATGAATAGCTTGCATTTTAAACCAGTCAAACCAGAAAACATTTCATAAATACAAGACAAAAATGCAAAACAATTTTAATATAGTTTTTATTGCAATTAAATTAAATTAACCATAAACACTTCACACATCATTATATATATATAAATATGCTTTATTCATTAATATTTGCAATATCCATTATTCTCATGTAGTTGTACATACCATTACACTAAGTAAAGCATAAATTTACCCCACAGAGCATTAGGTTAAAGTATTCAGATATGTAAATATGCTACATTGATTAACATTCTATTAAGAAATGATTTGTTCAATTCTGTCTTTTTATTAGTTCACCAAGTGGGTCTAAGTCTAATGTTGTCACAAAACCATTGCTGTACCGTTCTCCTGTTTAAGCATATATTAAATTTAGATGATTTTTAAAACTAAAGTCCCAGGACTATGCCAGTACTGTAAATGCATTATTACAGTTATTATCAATAGACATTGCTTGGTAAAATTAAGTAATTATTTATTCAATAATTTAAAGTCTATTTCAAGGTAAAATAATGTTTGTTAGTGCTAGAAACCTTGTTATGTTTTTTATGTAGATATGTTGGTAGTCAACACTTCTAAACAGTTCATGAAATTTCCAAAAGATATACTATGTTTAGCAAACTGAATGGATTTATTTTTCGATTATGTGAAATGAAATATTTGAATTGTATATTGGACACTGTTGTGTCATTGTCTTTATGGATGTTTATTGTTAGTGCCCGCCCGTTGATGTTCTTTTGGGGTTGTAGGGAATACCCCTTTCTTTTCAATTTTATTTTGGATTCAGATTTTTGAAATTAAAATTAAAGTCAACAAGACTGTTTTTGGAAGAGTTGTTGACATAATTCCGTCTAATTAAAATTCGATTACAATTTCGTTTAGTTTCATCGAAATAAAACGAAACGAAATTGACATTTGATTTTAAGTGAATGTTCCGACTTCTTTTTTCTTTTTATTTTGTTCATTTTCATCTACAGAGATGTAGAATTTAATGAAATAAGTTACATATTGAATGTTACAAAAGTAATTGTGGATATAATGTTGTTTGATTTCTATGTGCTTACTTTAATTTGTGATTGTTATATATTGTTACTGTGTTTTTTTAAATGTTTAAATTAAATAATGTTTGTTTAGTTAAAGTTCGGTTATTGTATAGTTTTATATCTGTCTGATTTACTCATTGGCTTCTTGCCTATATTATTGTTACACATCACTTAGTGGGTTCACTTCTGATTGGCAGACGGTGTCATAACCAATCGGAGGGGCGAATGGTTAACGCGTGCGCATTGCATCATTAGTTCTGTCATTAAGTCAGTTGGTGTGGTTTCGATTTGCCGCTTGTACATGACAAGGAGTAGGGTCCCCTGTCCAACCTCGTGGGTTTTCACCGGTTCCTCCGGTTTCCTTTCACTGCTAAAGACCCCCAGGCGGAAGTGAATTATTGAAATAAAGTTGAACAATATATTAGTACCAAAATGACCTAGTTTGTATCGAGTGAACGTTAAACCCCATTTTTCTCTGTCCTAACCAATCGTTTCCACTCTTAGAAACAGTTTGTCTGTGTCGTAAGATGATTTACCACAAAAAATGGCATAAGCTGTGGGGCCATATTATCCTCACCAATGTCACTCTCTTGAAAGTATCGCCAACGGTCGGAATATAGAGGAAACAAATTAAACGTAGGCAAATTTGTAGGATATCTATTGTCCGGATAGCGGCGCCACAACTTGCTTTCCCTCGAATTACATCTACCGAGTTGTACAAGTCACCTCGGGTTTTCGTCCCACCCGAATTACTGGACCGAGTCCCACGCAACACTAACAAGACGAACTTGCTCGACCAACATCAGGAACACTAGCTAGTTAGTTATCCAATGACATACTGGGCATTACCTACTCGAGGCATCGTGACTCCATAGTGATCAATCAAGAGGGTCTCAATGATAATTAATGGCGGCCAGAAACCTTTGAGTTAATCAGTATAAATTTATATTAAAACAACGTTAGAATATAGATCTGATTATTATTATTATAGATATATTTGTATATAATTGTATATTAGATGAAATATTCATTAATTGTATAAATAGATAGAATTATATATTTCTATAGAAAATCATTATTTTCATTGATTGGTGATCATCCTATTTGTCCACAAAAGATTACAATATTTAATGCATCAGTGGGCGTGCTCCTACGCCAGGAAAATAGTACTGACATACTCTGCAAAACAAGCTGTTTAAAACTATTATCGATCCTCGAAGCACATTTGACATTTCCTCGACCACCTAACTTTCTGTAACTGTCGGAGATAGAGGGGCGAATAATATGCCGAAGACCTGTTCCCACGAGGGTCTCTCATTCAAAATTTAAACTTACCTTTATCTGTAAAATAAATTAATGGACCGAAAATGTTTCTTTATCGGATATTACATATGATCCAAATGATCTATTGATTGTTGAGTGGGCGTTAAACCCATTTTATCTCACCTATGTGCTCGTGGCCCTCTTAAATAGGGGGGTTTGGGTAGCCGAATGGTTAACGTGTGGTCTCAGGTCTGTCATTGAGTTAAGTAACATGGTTTCGATTCCCCGCTGTTACGTAATATTGAGTAGAGTCACCTGTCAAACTTCGTGGGTTTTCTCCGGGACCTTCGGTTTCCTCCCACTGCTAAATACCCCTGCGCGCAAGCGAATTATTGAAATAAAATTGAACCATATATTAGTCCCGGAATGACCAAGTTTGTGTCTAGTGGATTACTTTAATCCCCATTTTTCTCTCTCCTCTTAAATAATTGTTGGCGTATTCATCAGTGCTATATGATATATTGCTTTCACATAAACTAGCAATAGTGTGTTCATCCATTTTGTTTTGTATTGTTTTATAGCCATATACATAAATTACATGTACATTCATAAAATATATCCAATAAGGTGATGCTATTTACAAATTAATGCTAATAATTACAAAAAGTGAGAATAATAAACATTTCTATATATAAATAATGTAATCACCAGTTGCCTGAATAAATGCTGAATACTGTTTTATAATACACAATTCCAAAGGAAATTAAAATATTATTACATAAGTTATCTTTCTATTTTGTTGATTTATAACTTTTCATAATAGACGTTTCATTGGGGTCAGCTATAACCAGGCAGTTATAGCCGAATAGCTACAATATTGTCGCGGTAATTCTATGCTTACCGTTACAATTGATACAGTCTAAGAGGCTTTGAGCAAGGAAAAATAGGTTCAAACACTCAATTCGCAACACATATTAAAGTTTGTATTGAAATAAGTAATTCTGTCACAAATAGTAAAGACTGGACCACTAAAATAGTTACCGAACAGTTTTTCTTTGTGGCATTTTCGAAGCGATATTTCTTATGGTGTATAAGGAAGTATTACTACGCTAGACTACTACAAGAGAAAATCGGAAATTACTGAGATGTCTATAACAGAAATTACGTGTCCTTGGTCTTTGAAATCGAAACTAAAATTAGACATTGTCTAAAATGTACGAATGCTGCAACTGTGGCAAATCATTCACAAGTAACAAGCAAGGTACTAAAAGGTCATATGGACATGAAATCCATACATGAAAAGTGACGTATGATCACGAGAGACGGGGTGCATATGCCATTTCTGGCTGGGCGGACATTTTACGTTGGATAGGAAAGAAATTATGCGTAGCAGTTGGGTTTGACCCAATCATATAAATTAGCGGTAGGGCTTCGCCTTTATTTCAATGGAAATTGGTTTACTATTATGTTAAGCTTTGCGCAGTACAGTTTGGGGACAGGAACTCGTTAGAACGATCCACTACTGTGGCTGGAGTAAGACGTAAGACTTCAGTAGTGGGACCATTTCTATAACCAAATGGCTGGTGAAGTGATTTCCCACCTCATAGACGGCGGGGGGGGGGGGGGAGAACCTTTGGAATTAAGTTGTAATGGGGGGTTTTAGCGTCAAACATTGTTCCACCAACCGGGCCGGTGAAGACGGACATACGCCAAGCAGTGTGTTTTCAGTGGAATTTTACCAGGCATCCACTTTTCGTTTTAAAATGTCTTCCTTTCGCACGTTTCCCAGTGCTAGATCCTATACTTGAGTCTTGGATGCGTTGGTCCCGAGTATCATTAACGGTCTGTAAGCCACGGAATAAAAGAGACTAGTAAAACTCGAATCATTGTATTGAACCAATTATGACGTTTAAGAATAGGGCTCATTTCCCAGTTTATTCGACCATCTATAAACCCACCCCATTCCAGTCCATTTTAACGGTTAAACTCACCGTTCTCAGTGACGAAGAGGTTCCGGGTTCGATTCCTTGGTTGGCCGAGAAAGTTCCGGGCGGCTTTTCCCTCTTGGTTGTTGTCAGTGCAGCAAGACGTAAAAATCATCTTCATCGACTGTGTTGGCCCTGGAAAAGGACGTTAAACCCCAATTCATTTTCCGTGTTACAGGTAATCCTAGCAGGGCCATGTTTCACAAAAACGTAACCTAAAATCACTAAAATAGATTTTAAATAAAATCAAACTGAAATTTTAAATTTTATGCGTTTCACGAAGTTCGGTTGTAACTTAAAATGCAATTTTAATAGATTTTAGTTAAAATTGCTTGCACTCGCGCAGTGCCCAATTCCGGCAAGGCACTTAGGGTGTATAAGCATACACGCTTCGGAACTGAAAACTGTTGCCAGGTTAAACTAACCGTTACAATACCAATGAGGGGGTTTCATACGTTGTAACAATGCCTGCACATGGTCAGACAGTCGTAGAAGGATAAAATAAATAAGTTTATTGCGTGTTATTTGTTTTGAAATGTATCAGTTGGTTGGCCTTGAACATGCATGTATCTTTCGTGACCTTGGCATTGGATTTATTTGCAATCTTCAATGGAAATAATGCGTATCGATAAACGAAATGGCTTGAATTTCGTAGTTTTGTGTTAGTTTGGATAACAGAAACTATTGAGAAATTGTCACAAACATGTGATAGTTCTGACTCAAACGATTAATCTAGACTAAAGTATTGTCGAATTTTAAAAGTATTTAATAACTTTTAAACTAATACACGAAATAACCAATGTTCCGATGCCTAGATTTGAAATGTCAGTCCTATGGACCCTTTCAATAATAATTTGAAAATGCCAAAGTGCCACACTCCTTATTGGATAATGCCTATTTCTCTTATTAAATCAAAATGATTTTTTCACAATATAAAATAGCATTGGCTCCTATATAAATCATCATAACCCCAAAACCATAATTAATACTTTGCATATGGCGTATCTAGTATTATAGGACTGACGGGGTTTCGATTCCCCGGTTGTACGTGACAGGGAGTAGGGTCGCCCATCCAACCAACCTTGTGGGTTTTCTCCGGTTCCTCCGGTTTCCTCCCACTACTAAAGACCCCTAGGCGCAAGCGAATTATTCAAATAAAATTGAACCATGTGTAGGCCTACAAATTTTTTTTTCTGGACATTAGATATGAAGTGGGTTTAGATTTTTTTTTTTAGGTTTTTTTGGGGGTCTATTAATTATTTGACAATAGTATAATTTATACTTGAATCTACGGTGGCCCATATACGACTTTTAAATATTTTGTAGTTTTGGATTTTGTTTTTTTAGTTATAGGTTTGTTTTTTTAGTTCTCACCTAGGTGAAAACGTTTCCACCTAGGTGAAAAGGTTATATAACCCGGGCCATTGGCAATATTATCATTATTCCAAATATATCTATATGTCGCAATAGATCTCACAACGTAGCTCTAATTAATGCTCGTTAATGTCGTAATTTTTTAGTTAGGAGAGTGTGACGGCTGTCCTAAGTTACAATAGATTTTAGTTAAAATTGTCCCTAAAATAGTTTTGTGAAACGCCACTATTGTAAGTTAAGATACAATTTTAACTTTCAATATTATTTTAGTGGATTTTACCTACTATGCTTAAAATCGTTTTGTCGAAACGCATCTATCTTAAGTTAGGATGGAATTTTAGTTTAAGACGATTTTAAGGAGATTTAAAGTAGCTAAGTCTCTAACTCAATATCACCCAAAGTCTTACACGTTGAAAATGCGAATTATTTGTCAATTCAAATCAACATTGATGTTGTGATCTTACCAGGAAAAGACAGGCTTTTGATATCCAATATTTAAGACAACATAAATATTTTACCATTGGTACACGAATCGTTTATCATAGTGCGTTTTAGCGTCATTTGCAACAAGTGACCAGAAAGAACGAGGCTAGACATATTCAACTGGAGAGCCTGCTGAATAGACTGGAATAACCAGACGCTAGAAATTGCTATATGGTTGAGACAAATGCCTTATTTCGCTGGACATAACTGATTTGAAATTAGAGTCAAAACGGAAACAATTGAATGTAAATCAGTTTATATACAATCAGATTACATTAGTATATGTGTTGCGACCCATTTGGGTCAATTTCTAGTTCCCAAGTATTAGCGATTTAGCTCCTTTAAGTTTTTGTGAAACAGGGAACAGAACATTAATATTCCCGCTGCCTGGGCTAAATACAGCCTTTCACACTGTTGTGTGGAGGGGGGGGGGGGTGATGTCCGAATGGTTAGCACGTGCGCGCTGTATCATAAGGCCTGTCATTGAGTCAACTGGCGTGGTTTCGAATCACCTGTCTGTCCAACCTCGTGGGTTTTCTCCCGGTCCTCCGGTTTCCTCCCACTGCTAAAGACATCTACGCGCAAGCGAATTATTAAAATGACCTAGTCTGTGTCAAGTGGACGTTACCCCCCCCCCCTCTCTCTCTCTCAAGCTGTTGAGAGGGTAAACAACCTTATATCTTTAATACAGTATGAATTATCTGTAATACAAAGAATACCACATCGCTTCCGTTTGTTATCTTTCAATCCTTCTCTGTACAACAGGAAACAACGCATTTATTACCCATTAATCAAGTACCAGTCGATTTATTGTCTAAGGGCTATCAATAACGTGTCAAATTTAATCCTGGAATTCTTCAAGACGTCGCCCTATTGCACCCCAAAATTAATCATGTAATTGTCCAACCTGTCATATATCATGGAATTCTGATCAAATTATCCAACCTTTTTATATAAAGTGGATTCTGTAATGCCAACATTTTGATCAAACACTCTTCAAAGGGTTTTATGGTTACAAGTTTCAATATGTAACGCATCCTCATTAAATACATCTATGGCGTTATATACACATACATGACGTTACATACACCAATAAAACTTGATACCAATATGGCGTTAAATACATCAATAAAACGTTACATACACAAATAAGACGTTATATACACCAACATGACGTTACATACACCCATAAAACGTTAAATAAACCAATATGACGTTATATACACCAATATGACGTTATATACACGATTAAAACTTAAATACACGAATAAAACGATAAATATACCAGCACGACCTTAAATATATCAGTACGGCCTTAACTACACCAGTATGGCCTTAAATACACCAATAAAACGTTAAATACATTAGTACGGCCTTAACCACGCCAATAAAACGATAAATACATCAGTACGGCCTTAAATATACCAATAAAACGTTAAATACACCAATAAAACGTTAAATCGTTAAATACACCAATAAAACGTCAAATACACCAGTACGGCCTTTTATACATCAATAAAACTTTTAATACAACAATAAAACGTTAAATACACCAGTACGGCCTTAAATCCAATAAAACGTTAAATACACCAATAACACGTTAAATATTTTAATACACCAATAAAACATTAAATACACCAGTAAGGCCTTAAATACACCAATAAAACGTTAAATACACCAATGAAACGTTAAATACACCGGTATGACGTCAAGCACGAAAAAAGAAGATCAAAAAAGGGGAAACGGATGCCTTACGGTAAGGATGTTTTGCTTTATAAAGTTAAATGACCATAGATAATTGATCTTTCAGCCAAACAACTATAACCGCAAATCACTCAACATAATAACTGGTAAAAAAAATGGGTTCTTAAGAGCTTCTTTTATTAATGGATTTTTATCTTCGTTTCGCTTGATTTATTGAACTTTTATACACTGATTCATCAA